GCCTGTGTTTGTCGAGAAGTTTCAATGAGGTTTGGTCGAAATTTTACTCTTGCAACTTATGTCAAACAAACTTGTGCTCCCAATAGTACTAATGAGCTCAATTCACCATGCTCACCCCGTCGAACAAGATGTGTGCCGGTTGGCCCTCAAAAACATCATTGGTGATGGAGTCAACCTAACATCCGTGACAATGGCTAGTATTTGCAAAATCGACTACTCGTATCTGTATGAATGAATGTGATTTCCAAGCAGACATAGATACTGTTCTAACTACTTAGAGATCAAGCCTGAACGAAACCATCTTGTCATTGATGGAAAAATTCAGGCGTCAATTTGAAATCAATGATTTGTAAGTATGCTACCGTAGTAAATCCACTAAAGTAGTATTTTAGTCTCGGTTTTTGTACCATTTTTTTTCTTCTTCAACATATAACTGATTTAAATTATAGAATGTTTGCATTTTCTTTAGCCACTGTCAAAAGTAGTAGACAAGAACACTTATCAATCACGAATACTTCTATTATCAGGCGAGTTATCCATCTTGCTGAGTGAAGGATATCATTTGATCATATTGAACGTTTTGAATATTTTGTAATTGAGTCGAATTATTTGCCGTTTACAATTTTTTCATTTATGGCAGTATCGTTGAGTATAAAAGTATCGTGTTATTGTCGATATGATGCCTTGAAGCGTGAATCTAGGTACTGGTGCGAACCTTGTTCTTCGTCCATACCCATAACACTGACACTCCGACTGCATTGGTGACTAGTCATGATGATGTTTATTGGAAACTAGAATCAAATCAATTTTGAACGCAGATCATCAGCAACAGACTGCCATTCGATATTTTATCAGTTAGATTGAAAGTGATGAGTGGTAAGTTTTCAATTACTATCAAGCGTATCCGAAATATCTAATTTATTCAGCAAATTCAAGAAAAAAATCTTTTCATTGTGCACTCTTCGATTTCAAATCGACCACGATTAGTGCCTGCATAGGTTGATAGTTATGATTACAGGTCGATGCATTTACAAATATAGTTGAACCTTGGTCTATTCGTCCGTATGCTTCGTGAACATGACCGCAGACATGTAAACGAGGTTTAATGGCAATGATACGTGCAAGTAACTGAGCACATCCAACATGTATGCCTGCAGTATTTTCATCAAGAATATTTGTAGGTGGACCATGTGTAAGAAGAACATCAACATCACTTGGAATCCGAGACCAGACCTGCTTAATTTCGATACTGTTGATTGGTAAATTAAAGGCCCAATTATTATATTCTGGTTGATAGGGACTAAAGAAGGGAAGACATTTCAATATGACAGAGAAATACACCTATGCAACTTACCTGCCGTAAAATTTTAGACCAGTAACATTATCGATAAATTGTTGTTCTTCCAAATAGATAATTCCAAAATTGGTTGCTAACGATGGTTCACGTATAAGGCGTCCAATAAGTTCCCAATTTTGTTTTCGACCGCGATGCCATCGTTCCCAATTTTTCTCGTAAAATGCTGGTTGCAAAGTTAAATCATGATTACCCGCAATGAATACTTTCAATCGATATTGAGTAAGAGATTTAAGACAAGTTATGAAATTTTCGATTTCACATTGCTCGCCTGACATCGAAAAATCACCTGCATGAACAAGAATATCACCAGCTGGGAGTGGAAAGCCATACCGTGAGTGCGTATCACTAATACAAACAATACGTGTCGTTTTAGTTTCGTTATTAGCCATATTTAGCGAAAAAATATACGATGATAATGGCAGAGAAAACAAGGTTCTTTCACAGCACAGAATCTGTGTAATATTTTAACATTTTTTTTTGCTTATGTTTTTTAAGAGAAAAAAGAACAAAATGAGAAAAGGAATGAATTTTGCCTCTGGTACACGAGGAAATACAATTTTTTTAACATTGCTGACAAAGCGTCGTTATGGCTGAAAATTTGTTCACTGTTGTAAATAAAACTTTTCATTCCCTCCCACTGTTTCAATAAACGAAGAAATGTTACAGGAGTCTCAAAAATATGTGGTGAAGTTGATAGAAGAGGAGCCAGGTATAAAATTCGATGTATGTAATCACATTGAAAAGATAATGCTTTCTTCTGGCAAATCTTATTTTGCTGAAATTCATATTAAAACCAAGTTGGGGTGTGGGTGTGAGAGAAGAGAAATACTGATGCATGCACCTGAATCATGCCATTCTCATACATGTCAAAACAGGTGTAGGGTTTTTTATTCAATTATTTATATCGTGGAATGAGATAAATAGTTAAAACAATAAAAGAGACATAGATTAAGTCAAAAATGATTAATCAGTCATACAAGAAAATAGTTTTTTGTATGTGAATCTGGAAATATTTGTTAAGAGAAAACATCGAATATGAAATGTGTTTCACAGACATTCAAAAGCTCAACTTTCCGAGATCCTATGAGCAGATTTTTATTGTAATAATATTGGAATCACTTTTTTTTATATCAATGCGAAGAAATTAGAGAGAAATATGAGTAAAAATACATAGAAAACAAAGCGGACAAATAGAAAAAGTCAACAAAATATGTTTTTTGTGCTTTCAGGAATAAGTGAAGAACACATATAACAATAGACTAAAAATCGTAATTTTTATTAAAGCAATGTTATTGTTCGATAGGTCTGTCTACTTGGATATATGATTCAGCAAAATGATTTACAAATGAGTGGAATAACTATAAATAGCATTTAGATATGCCGATATTTAGCATTAACTTTCCATGATTAGTTGCCATTATCCCAGACGAAAGAGAAAAATTTATTTGAATTGATCAAAATTGTCAGATATCATATAGTTTCATTGAGTTTACTTACTGTGATTCTATAAATAGCTGCTGCTGCACCTTCGGCAATGATGTAAGTTTGGTACTTATTCGCCAGTTTGAATATATCCTTGTACTATTAATATAAATGATCTTCCGTGAGTAACTATGTTTCATATGACACAAATAACACTAGTAGCACTCTACATACTGATAGTTCGAATCTTTGTTGGGTGGACTCATCCGAATGAGTTTGCAGTCCATCAGGTATGAGATCAAGCCCATCAGCAACATCCATTGTAACGAAGTAGATGTATGCGCTTTTGGTCATTGAGGAATGAGCACGTTCCATTTTTTCTTCTCTGGCGCAGAAAGATCGAGTCGAGCCAACTCACGAGGAAACATTCCCAAGTGATATCAACCATTCGGACTCACATTTTGCTCATAAGTAGGATCCAATGCGTCTAGAAAAAGTCTAAGAGATATCGTGCCATTAGATCTTTCTTTTAAAGTTATGACCCTTTTACTGATTTTTCGGTCCTGGATAAGGAATTTGGAGAAAAATTGAATGATGGAATTTCGGGCTGAAATTTTGCCTAACAATAGGTCTCATTGATATTAAAATATAGTAAAACTTTCAGTTAAAACTGACTCTTACTTCTCGAGATATTGCATATTGAAGAAAACAGTCATTTTTCAAAGAATTATCGTGAAACTGACTTTTCTTCAATATGCAATATCTCGAGAATGAAGAATCAGTTTTAATATATTCTAATATCAATGAAACCCATTGTTAGGCAAAATTTCAGTCCGATATTCCATCATTCAAGTTTTCTACAAATTCCTTACCTAGGGCCGAAAATTCAGTAAAACGGTCATAACTTTAAAAGAAAGGTCTAATGGCACGAAATCTTGTAGACTTTTTCTAGTTTCACTGGATCCTACTTATGAACGAAATGTAAGCCCGAATGGTTGGTATCACTTGGGAATGTTCCCTCGTCAGTATACAGGACTGATTCGATTATATTGCGAAAGATTTTCGAGAAAGTACATTTCAAAAATCATTTTCGAATAGGAAAATATATTTCTGAATATCCCTAGAAAATGTTAAAGATACACGGTTACCTATTTTGATGATGAAGAAAAATATATTCTTATTGTTTTTATTAGATTTGAAGTTGAGCATACTCCATTCGAATCTATTTGAATGACTTCCCTATTTAATTTTTTGAACGATTAATCAAAAATTTAGATGCACGTAGCATATGGACTTAACTTTACTATTGGGTCAATTAGAGAATCGAAGAAAAAAAGGGAAGCATTGCATACGATATGGACGTCATCGTCTTTATTGATGCGCACGATTGTACATTCTAAGTAAATTGATTTAGTACGTTTTAAGTAGAAACACGTGTAATGATAAATTTTGTTTTATTTTTCATCAGATCTGAAAACTTCGACCGAAACATGAAGATAAGATCTTTTATATTTAAGATAACTTTATCTTGCATCATTGTGCATGTAACTCACAGATAAATCGCACTTGTTTTTTTCTCTCATTTTTCTTTCATACAGTAATGCACAGAAAAAAAGTAAGCTCGTAGAAAGTATTATTCTTTCTTATCTAACCATCATTTTGTAAGGTTAACGATGCAACTTTCCTTTACAGTTATGATTTGAAACAAGAACAGTAAGAGATTAGCTAAAGTGAGCCAGCACGTCGTATGCTGTACTAGCAGTGACGATGCTCTCTTTTAGCTTAAAAAAAGATAAGGAAGAGCAAAAAAGAGTTACACTTTGATCATCGTCATCAACTTTTCTTCATTTTGTTTGCTTCATTGTCATATTCTCTCTTATTCGCTTTTTTTCGCAATATAATCGAATCAGTCCTGTA